CGCTTGACCAATGTTACAATCTGGTCACCGTAGTCTTGGATACCCACAGGGGCAGTTAGTTCTCTCCTGTCCTATCATGAGTTGGCATCCACTCGATGGCAGTAAGTTGGCCTTGGTCCTGACCAGTCCTGCATTGTATTGTGGCCAGGGGGTGGGCTCCCTAGTGAAGTTCTGGAATGCTGAGGCAGAGCGGATCTTTACTTATTGCCTTATTTATCTCTCCGTTCCAGCTCTGCCTTCACCCCAAAGTGGTAGAAAATGAATGGATTCCAGGTGAGTTGTCGGCTTCTCTCCCCGGTGGGTTTTCCGTGCGCTGGAAGATGTAGATTGAAACAGAGAAGCACAAATAGAAAAACCAGTCGCAAGCCATCCAGCCTTGTCCGTTGTGTGTTTCCTGTGTGTTACGAGCGCCAGATCCTTGCTTTCCTCTGGCTGGGCCTGCAGACAGTGCGTGGGCCTTCCTGCTGCCAGCGCCGCCTCTGTGTCTTCTCCTCTCCGTCCCCCGTCCTTCCTGTCTGCGTCGGTATTTCTTACTGGCCTGTGTTCCGCTTCACTAATCATCCCTTCAACTGTGTCTTATCCAAATGTTAAAGAAAGCAAGCAAGAAAGAAATCCCATTTTTGTGGCTTGGGTGTGGTGAGGCTTTCCGTTGTGCCCAGTACTTGGGATGAAAGTTGGCACTCCCTCATCTGCCCTTAGGTACCCCAAGCTTTTCATGAGCTCTTGATACTGTCCTGTCTGTTGCCACTAAACCAGTGCCTAACTTTGCAGCACTCCTTGGGGATTACACTCTAACCTTCTGAGCGCGCCATGTGCACGCTCCTCAGCGTCTGGTTACAGCGTCTGTTGCCATGTGGATACAAGGCTGTGTTCATGTTAGAAGTATGAAGAAGCTGAGTAAATTTGTCACTCTTTCTGAAAGTGAGTTTCGGAGACACGACAAGGCCTAATACACAGGGTGTGTAGCTGCTCTTGTGTAAATTGGGGGTGGGGGGGAGATTCCGTTTCCCTCGGGCCCAGGGTGAGAGAATGGCAATGTACCATTTCAGGGCCCGGTGACGTTCACGGATGTGACTGTGGACTTTACTCAAGAGGAATGGGAGCACCTGGACCCCGCGCAGCGGATCCTGTACATGGATGTGATGCTGGAGAACTACAGCAACTTACTCTCAGTGGGTAAGGTGGCCCTCACGTGGCCTGGTGTTCTCGTCACCTCCTCTCAGGGCTGCTGAAGGACTGAGAACCCTGGTGGTGCCCCGGTTGAAGTGCTTGGCTGTGGTTCGAACACCAGCTCCTTCCGTAAAGTGGGCACCCTGGTGCAGGTCAGCGTCTGTTGCGGTGACTCGGAATCCACTCCGCAGCGGCAGTTGGGTTTGGGGTTCTGAATTTTTGAGGGTTTGGGCCCTGAGTGTGGGGGTTCAAATCGGGAGGTGGTATAGCCCCTGAAGTCCAGTTTGCTTGTTTTCAGGGTCTCTGAACCCCGAGCAGTTAAGAGTTACGTGTCTCTCGTGGGTTCCCTGAGAACATCCCACCAGGCGCAGTGTGAGAGCTGGTGCAGGAGGAGAACCGTGCAGAGCAGCCATAGACCCCTAGTCCAGAGCATCCCTGAGGGGAGCGGGAGGGTTGGGAGGAGAAGCCAGTGGAAGGACTATCCCAGGGCTGGGGGTGGGCGGGGACTGCGAGCTGTCTCTAGGAGCCTCTAGGGGTGCCTGGGGACACTGCGTGCCTTGCGCTCCGACTGCTGCAGGCGGGGAGCACAGCACCTCTGATAGAAGCTGAACGTCACAGTGTGGGGTGAAGGAGAGGGACCCCCACAAATCATCACAGGTCCGGTAGGCGCAATGTACAGCGATAATAAGTGAAGATTATAGTAAAGTCATAGAGAGCATGAGAGGTCGAGGAGAGAGTTAGATTAATGGAGTCAGACACAACTCATGGTAGCATTGCTCACCTCAGCCCCGCTTGGTGGTCCACGTGGGGGGAGCCCAGCCACAAGAGCAGGAGGGAGTCTTTGGCCGAGAGCCGGGGAGAGCTCACAGGACCGAGTGCCGGGGAGAGCCTTTTCTTTATTGCTAACCAAGCAAAAAATCCTTTTTTTAAAAAAAATAATCATTTTATTAGGGGCGCATACAACTCATCACAATCTATACATACGTCATCTGTGTCCAGCACTTTAGTACATATGTTGACTTCATCCTTCTTACGACACCCACTTTCCACTTGAGCCCCTGGTGTCAGCTCATTTTTCCCCCTCCCTCCCCACTCCCCCCAACCCCCTGATAATTTACAATTTTTTATTATTTTATCATATCTTACCCCATCCCACATCTCCCTCGCCCACTTCTCCACTGCCCGTCCCCCAGGGAGGAGGCCACATGTAGACCCTGTCCTCTGTTCCCCCTTTCTCCCTCTCCTTCCCTCCACCCTCCCGCAAAAAATCTTATTAGGGGGACATGATTACAGGTAACCACACGTCACAGGAAGTGGCAGTACGATGGGCATACACATTGTAGGAAGGGGATCTATGATAAGCATAACAGGAAGGGGATGAGCTAGGCGTGTGCCCATAGGAATGGGAAGGTCTAGGGGTCTACATGTGACAAGATGGGCGGACCCTAGATTCATGATGGCGCTTGGGCGGGTTTGACCTTTGGTGTCTCCTACAAGGAAACAGACTACTACTATCCTTATCAGAAGGGAGTTATCTACTTGTGGGATAAACAGTGGCGTCTGCTTGGGCTAGATGGCTGATAGCTCTTAGGGAGAATGACCCCTAATCTACTCCTGATGACCTCCAAGTGTATAGTCATTCTCAAGCAGCTAAGTCTGGCATATATTTGGGGGAGACAGCTTGAGAAAAATCCTTCTGTTTCCCATAACGGAGCGTGTGGTCCTGTTGTACAAGCAGCTGGCCTTTGGATCTGCACAGCGTCCATTCTGGAATGTGCTCCTTCTTGGGTCTCGCCAGCCAGTTACGAAAGAGCCCCTCTGCAGAGGCCAGGGGTGGGCTTGCCTGCCCACCTGCAAGGAAGTCACACTGGTAGTCTCGGAAGCACTGTGCTGCCGCTCTGGCCCCGGGACGTGAGGCCAAGGGGTGGTTGCTGACTCAGGTCTCGGCCCTCGGCATCTTTGTCTCCTTGCTCCCCAGGTCGGTCCTTCCCTGCTCGCTGTGGGGTGTCCTGGAGGACGCGGCCCTCTTCCCTCCCTCCAGCCACCAGCTTCTGGGTCACCTGCACCCTTTGCTGCCCTTTGTCTCCACCTCACCTGCTCCACCCACTTAAAAAAAAAATTTTTTTTTTTAAACTGTGATTTGGGTGAAAGTTTGCAGAGCAAATTGGTTTTCCATTCGTCGAGAGGCGTGGCATTTCGCTTCATGGCTTCAGTGGCAGCTCAGCCGCCCCTTTTCCGTTCGTCCTGTGTTGACCATTTCCCCCTGCCTGGCTCCTGAGCTTTCTCCCAGGACGAAGCGTCCTCCACATCTCCCGTGGTCGGCGGTTCGAAGGCAGGTGCGCCTCGTTGAGCCGTTGTTGACCTGTGGAGCAGAAAGCTCAGCCGTTGGGCTGAGGGAAGGGCGGCCCTCGGTTCCTCCAGCCTCTCTCTGGCCCATGGATACCACAGGGCTTGTTTTATTATTACGAAAATTGGCCCCAAGGATTTTGCAAAGCAAAAGAACCAGCCCCACAGTAGAGCTCATGTGGGGATCCCCGCCCCTCTTTCCAGAGTGAGAAACGGCCCCTGTCCCTATGTTCTCTCCTAGAAGTGTGGAAGGCAGACGACCAGATGGCGGGGGACCTCAGGAACCCCGACAGGCAGGACAGGCCGTTTCTCATCCTCAAGAACCGAGCCCCGGCGGAGGAGAGAGGTAATCTCTCTGAGAAAGCGTTCAATCTGAGCACGGACTTTGTTGCTTTGAGACAAGCATCTCACAAACACGACCTCTATGAAACAACGCTGCGGTGCAAAGCCGACTTGCTGAGTCGCCACGGGTGCAGCGCCAGGAAGCCAGCCGAGGAGCACGGCCGCGGCGTCGGGTTTGGGGGAGCCCTCCTGTGCCTGAAGGAGGAGCAGACCTCCCCGGGGCCGGAGTACCCTGCCTTCAGCAAGAGTGGGAGAGCCCTGGGCCACACGGAAGCCATTTTCAAGCATCCAAAAATCAAAAACTTGGCTCAGCCCTTCGTTTGCAACTACTGCGACAAGGCCTTCTCCTTCAAGTCGCTGCTCGTCAGTCACAAGCGGATCCACACGGGCGAGAAGCCCTACGAGTGCAGCGTGTGCCAGAAGACCTTCTCGCACAAGGCCAACCTCATCAAGCACCAGCGCATCCACACCGGCGAGAAGCCCTTCGAGTGCCCCGAGTGCGGCAAGACCTTCAGCCAGCGGTCCACGCTCATCGTGCACCAGCGCGCCCACCTGGAGAAGAAGCCCTACGAGTGCCGGGACTGCGGCAAGACCTTCGCCCAGAAGTTCGAGCTCACCACCCACCAGAGGATCCACACGGGCGAGCGGCCCTACGCGTGCGGCGAGTGCGGCAAGACCTTCTTCAAGAAGTCCAACCTCATCATCCACCGGAAGATCCACACGGGCGAGAAGCGCTACGCGTGCGCCGAGTGCGGCAAGTCCTTCATCCAGAACTCCCAGCTCATCATCCACATGCGCACGCACACGGGCGAGAAGCCCTACGCGTGCGCCGAGTGCGGCAAGACCTTCAGCCAGCGGTCCACGCTCAGGCTGCACGTGCGCATCCACACCGGGGAGAAGCCCTACGCGTGCGCCCAGTGCGGCAAGGCCTTCAGCCGCAAGTCACGGCTCAGCGTCCACCAGAGAGTCCACACGGGGGACAAGCCCTGAGGCGGCACCTGGGTGGGGCCAGAGGACCCTCCCGACGTCGGGTGGGCTGCTGAAGGAACACTGGAGCACACAGCATCGCCGACCAGCATTGTCCCGTGGTGAGCCGTGACACCCAGCTGAAGAGGCCAGAGCAGAGGATGTCCAGCTGTAAATAGACCACTCGGCTGCCCTGCGGTGAGCTCTTTAACGGCCAGGCTGGGTGGAATGTCCCAAGCAACAATGTGAAGGGCACAGGGTGCGCCGGGGACACAACGGCACTGTGGTGGCGGTTTGTGAGACGATGTCCCCGTGCGCACGTGTATTGAGCGCAGTCAAGGGGGATTTGAGACTCTTGTCCCGCGTGACAATTAGGACACATCAGAGAAGGCACCTCATAAGTGCACACAGCACGTGTTCTTCAGTGCACCGACACCCTGGGTGCATTCAGGATGAAATGCGGATGGGGCCGGCGGGAGCATGGAGGGGGCCTCTCTTTCTCCCGCTACTTGGTCATCCTGCTGCCTCTTCTGCCGACAAAAGGCCAGGTTGATGTCACTTGCTTTGGGGTTCGCAGAGGATGTACGAGGAGAGCTGATCAAAGTGTTCGTGTCTGAGGCCAGTCACAGGGATCAGAGTGCCGTTACCCAGTACACACCACGGACACCCTCCCCTGCACCCTCCCCCCTGCGATCTCTGGGTGGGGTATCTGCATATAAATGCATGAGTGCTACTAAACAGTCGCCCCAGAAACCCCCCCATTGTTAAACCTGTGTGCTGCCTTGTTTCTCTTGTCTTGCAGAGGTGTTAGCTACCTTTCAGCAACCCCGAGATTAATTTATTTTGCGTTAACTGTCGAGAGAGGTCTGACTTGTTGCTTTTTGAGGTCCTCACTTTCTAAATGAGACGGGTCCTTGTTCTGTTGTTTACAGGAGGCATCTCTATCCCTGGAGGCCCATTGTTTATCAGCCACCAGCGGGTCCCTCTGGAGCCAGCTTGAGTGTAATGCCGTATAACCCGGGCTGTTCCCACTGGCCTCTCCAGTGTTGGATGATCAGTGTATTTTTTAAAATCCCTCCCGCGTGCAGCTCAAAGACACACACGCCATCTTTCCCTATCAGTCAGATCGTACAGTCGACCTGACAGCGGCAGCCCTGGTTGTCCTTTCTGAACCAGTTCGTTTTGATGGGCTCCAACCACACAGGGAGTCTCCAGCTCCGAGTGAGAATGAGCTGACCCCGTGTTCTTCACGCCCAGTTTGCAGGGAAAGCAGAGAGGTGCAGACAGCTCCTAGTCTTCCTGACTGTAGTGCAGGAGAAGCCCGGCCTCTTTCGGGGCTTAAGAGGCTGCAGATGCTGCCGCAGACGGTGACTGAAGGAGCCTTTGTTTAGAGGGGTCGGTTCAGTCGAGTCAAAGCCAGGGCAAATGTACACGGAGGGTAAGTCGGAGTCCTCCCGACCTTTGTAACCAAGCACTGTCTGGGTAGGAGTGCCGGTGACTTCCGTGCACACCAGAGCCCAGAAGCCCAGGAAGCAGGAGCGGTTAGTTTGGCCCTCTGCCTCCAGAAGTGTCCCTCGTGAGCACCTCCTGGCAAAGCAGGCATCTGTCTTCATGTTGGCGACATCCTTGCAGCCTGGCCTCCGGCCCTAAGAAGGGAGTAAAGTGCTAGCACGGAAATTGAACTTTGTCGCGGTACGGCGACAGTCACTGCCATCAGTTCTCATAGTGGCCCTGTAGGGCAGAGTAGAACTGCCCCTGTGGGTTTCTAAGACTAGCTCCTTATGGGAGTCAAAAGCCTCATCTTCCTCCCAAGGAGCAGCCAGTGGCTTCGAACTGATGACCTTGTAGTTGGCAGCCCAACTTGGAACCTGCTTTGCCACCGGGACTCCACAGGTTGCCCACCCTGACGGAGGGACACCAGAACTGCCGTGCCGGTGGAGGAAGGGGAGGGGTGCAAAGGCTCAGGAAGGGACCACTCCTGCTGGCCTGGACGTGATGGCCCTAACGGGAGGCTTAGAACCACAGTCAGGAACGCTGGGGAGTGGGCCCTTGAGTAGCTGAGGAATTCCAGCCCTGGGTGGCTGGTAGGGGGGCTGCCACAGCCCTGGGCAATCCTGCAGAGGCCAGGTGCGTGCAGTTATCTGAACATAACCCCGTGCTGAGTCTTGAAGGCGGGCCCCACATTCCTGGGCCAACACAGGTGGACTGCTAACCAGAGTGCTTCCCTGGTGTGCCCATGAAGGAAAAAGGCCGATGCTAGGTCAAGATCATGGCCCTTTGCCAAGCTTCCAGGTCTGAGCCAGCGTTGCATCTGGAGCCCCTGGGCTGAAGGAGAGGCAGTGTTTTCCAGGCCTTACCTATAGGGACCAATGGCTACTTGATACATGACCCGTTCACTGGGGGAGGTGAACACCCAAACATTTCAAGGATTGTCAGTGGTTTTTAAGTACCGATTACATGTTGAAATGATATTTTGGATATATTGAATCAAATAAAATATATTGTTAAATTTAATCCATCTGTTTTTACTTTTTAAGGCTACTGAGTAATTTGAAATCGTGCGTTTGACTCATACACTATGGCTTTTGAATACCAGCGGGTTAAAAAACAAATAAAAACGGAGCTCACTGCTGGCAAGTAGTAGATTCCGACTGGATGGCAGTAGAAATGTCCAGGAGGATTTGGCTGCCACCTTTCTCCTGAGGAGCAGTCTCTGCTGGTTGGTTAGCACTTCGCACAGCCCTGAACCACCGCACCATGCCATTGCAATGTTCAGACTGGCCACCAGGTGGCAAGCGTATCCTGCCTGCATCGGTCCCTCTGCTGGCCAAGCTTGTCTGGTGGTTGGCAGTAGACCATTAGGATTTTGTACTGGTTTCTCTGCATGTATATGAATAACACCTCAGTCATTTGACAGCAGATGGGTCCTAGTGTAATAATAGGATATTTATCCCTTCCTGAGTTTAGGAGCAGTTAACCTTTAAAGGCCTTTTTATCGTTTTTAATGAGTCGAACTTCTCATCACTATTTCCTTTCACACGTTCCATTTTCTACATCAAATTCACCTGTTTTTGTTCAGTTCGTGCCCTTAGTTACGGAAACAAGCCTCTGCCACCTGAATCGCAGCCTGTGTGAGCAACCTTCAGAACCCTCAGCTTCCGGGAGGCAAAAAGGTGAGGAGAGGGCTGCCGGGAATGCTGAAGGGCCTG